TGCGTCTAGATTATTTCGCTGCTCCAAATGTCCACACGATAAGCCACTTCTCAATGAGCTATACCTCGTTGGCAGGTCGCTTCTGAAAAATAAGCGAAGAGCTCGGTGGGCCTTACCTGGTCAAATGAAAAGTAGTTTCGATTTGTGTATTTTGTTCAAGGGATTTGTTTACCTTTCCTATACTTTGCACTCCTATCATGCGTTAGTAATTGTTTGTTACAACGTTCTGACCTGTTCCTACGGGTCATCCGTGAAAAAAAGAGAGCTTAATCGCTCATCGGATTCCTCCAGTATAAATACATATTCTGATTGATTCTGAGAAATGAAAGCTCATAAACCTGCTGTATAGGTAAAGGTGCAGCCTTTCAATGTCTTGCTCAAACCACTGCCCGTGGATTTGGCCTCAACGACAGGGAGCCCGAGAAGGCGCCCTTCTCGGGAATTTTTTTACTTCCCCGTCCATGCGAGCCAGTTGTTGCGGAAGGCGTTTTCAGCTGTGGTAGAGTGGATGATAAATACAGTTTGGCATAATAACATAAAAAAACACGATTACTCGAGGCCAATTATATCGTAATAATGCCATTATTTTATGTAAGAAAGCTCTAAAGAGGATCAGGTTTTTCAAGAGGGTCCAGCGTTAGAATATTTTGCTATGGTCATTCATGAGCAAGGTACTACCATTTTTTTCAATATTCATTTTACAAGGTAAGGCCCACTGAGCTATATAGCCCTTTTTCAGAAACGACCTTGGCCACAAATGATAGCTCAACAGGGCTTATCACGTGCAACTTTATAGTAGCCAAATACTCTAAACATATAGTATGGCATGTGGGGGTGTAAACTAAATAATCCAGAGAAAACCCATGCATACTCTTTGGTTCTATTCGGTTAAGTCACGTACGTGGTTCTATTCGGTTAAGTCACGTACGTGACTTTACCGAATAGAACCAAAGAGTATGGATCCTTGCAGTCACGAAAGCTTCAAATCTAAAACCCATGCATGCGGAGACGACAACACTCGGCACTGCTGTCTCCTGCCTATCTCGCAAACCCGTGCTGCCTAAATTCCATAAAAAGTTCTGGGAGTCATCCATCAAAGTATTAACCAGGATCAAAGCATGCTTAGCTTTGTATGATTAGATTGGGACCATTCAGGGTGATTTGGTTATAGCTCAGGCTTAAAATCGCGCAATGAATCAGCACGACTACAAGCGCATCGGAAATGACAACACCGCATCTCAACAACTACGCCACAGCATCTTGCCGATCTCTTTTCAAGGAGCATAGGCCATCACCAAAATCCGGTCATCCTCGCAGCGGCTTTTGGCTGCCCATCGAACAAAAGACGATCACTGCATCGCGCGCTTTCAGATGCGCTTCTGTGGCCGTCTGGAATGCTCTTCCTTGCGATATTAGGACGTCATTAAAGAAATGCGGTTTAAATCTAGATTGAAAACTCATTTCTTTAGAAACTGCTTTTTGTGTTTAGTTTGTTGTCTTTCCCCCAAAACTACGATTATCATGATTGGCTACATATGGTCCAAAAGGAGTTCAAACATAAATACATCTTTGCTTGTGCTATTCCAAGAACAAGCACGTGTTCTAAACCGTGAGACTGACTTCGTGTTGGACAAACTGCCATAGCGCAAAGGAATGTCACTGGGATGGCAGGCAGATAAAGTCACTGGGCATCGAACACGGATGGTCGGAAACACCAATGGATGTTCTGACCTCTTAAAGGCAGAAAAACTTGTGAGCCAGAGAAAACCTCTGGCTCACAAGTTCACGTGCGCACGTGTGTGTCGCCATTATCACAGTGCGCTGCAGGGCGCGTCCTGGGACGTGGCAGTCCGCGCGTGAGCATCACGTGGTTGCTCTCAAAACCGTTCCGCTTAATTTACGATCTCAAAAAAATACTCTCGCCAAACTCTGGGGCCTGGGAAATGTGCTCACTTCCGTGCAGCTAAAAAAAAGGGTAAAAGCGAACGTGCACGCTTGCAGAGGGGTCTCTGCGTCACAGTTTATTTTTATTTGTATGAAATTTTTTTGGAGGTTTGTGCCACCCCTCCCCCATCCCCAAATACTCCCTCGCGACAAATTGTCGCACAATTATCGTCGTCCTTCGTCCCGTCATGCTGAGCTAGAGGTGCGCGCTGACGTTGCTGCGTTATGCACGGGCGTTTGAGCCGGGTGAGTCAATATCCCGTTGTCGGGATTAGGTATGTTAAGACTATCCCACAAACACGCGAGCCTCACAGGAATAACTCGCCACGGGTTTGGGTGCATTTCTCTGACTTCCCCTAAAGGACCCGAAGCCTGCATCCTAACTCTATACTTGCTTAACATTTTACTGTTTTCTACTCTCTCTCATTTTCAGGATTCTTCCCAAACCCCCTCCCCAAGTTCATCCCGCTTGTGCTATCGGCGTCACACCGTCAGACAAAGTGCCCAAAATAAGATCTCTCTCAAAGAGCAGTGTAACGCTTCGTGTTTGGAGAATGGCCAATGGAAGCCAATGCCACAGAGCTGCCTCTTAATGTAGCCATCACATATTTATAAATGGTTTTGACAATTCCTTTTTATTGTGTTTTTTAGTTCTTAGTTTTGTATGAGTCAGGATGACATCATCAGTTTCCGCTGAATTTAATGCCTTTTAGCTGCATAGAAAAGCTATGCATAATGGAATTTGATATTCATTTTCTTTTCTGGAATATGATTGATGGACTACAGACCCATAATATTCTTATCACACGTATTTAAACTGTTCACGAAGACCAGAGACAGCTAACTACATGTTGGCCGATCCACAGATCTTTCAGCTCACCAATCTCAGTTTATAGATTAATCCATGCATCCTTACCCCCAATAGTTTTCGTGGAACGCCTTTATAAACCCAACGCTACCATCTTGTTTCCAAATATATATTTATATTTTAGCTTGCAACTGGTCCCCATTTAGAATGAAAGATGCCCAAGAGATTACTTAAAACATCAGGGATCCTCAAGAGGTCATTTCCACATCCACGATTTGATAAATGCAGCTTTCTTGTTGCATATTTTCCCCAATGTCCTCTCCCTCACCCCCCCCCCCCCTCCCCCCCCCCCCCCGAGGTTGTAAAATTCCACGAAATGCGATACTCCTTGTGTGGCTAATTCTACTGCAGGCTTCGTCCACTGGCGGCATCTGCGCTGGGACTAAAGGCGAGAGGGGACACCGCGAGGTTCCAAAAACGCCAGCTCCCCCCGTCGTATTCTGCTGCCGAGTGACATTTTCTTGAACTTTGCTCATTCAATCTTGATTTGAAGCTTTCGTGACCGCAGGAATCCATGCTCTTTGGTTCTTTCGGTAAAGTCGCGTGGGTATAAAATAAAATAAATCTCACGACGTTTCGGGCGCAACACGAGCGTCCATCATCAGGTGGAAAAGCCTGATGATGGGACGCTTGTGTTGCGCCCGAAACGTCGTGATTTATTTTATTTTATACCTACGTGACTTTACTGAAAAAATCAAAGACTTCGCTCATTTTCTTTGGTTCTTTCGGTAAAGTCTTTCACCTGAAGAAGGCTGCTTGTGTTGCGGCCAAAACGTCGTGAGAATTTTATTGTCTTATTTTATTATTTTATTCTCATTCTACGTGACTTTACCGAAAGAACCAAAGAAGATGAATCCTTGCAGTCACGAAAGCTTTAAATCGAAGTTTGCTCATTTGTTTTAGTGTTTTGTTTTTATTGCCCACGTAGTAGCAAAGACGATTACTGGGACACCGACCGCAAGCCAGCTTCAGTGTAAAGAATTACGTGCAGTGTTTTCAACTTGCTGTTCCGTTGACCGCTTGAACCGCCCATGCAATAAGAGTCTTGAAGCCCTTGAAAATTTTACGAAAAGCACTTCGGTGTTTGCGTCAAATGAAAGTTGAATCAATGAGAGACGGGGACGCTTTTCACGGACTGCTTTGGCCACAGGAATCACATTGTGGTCCAAATCCAGTATCTCAACTTGTGGGATAAATACTATTTGTCTATCCCTCTCAAACACATAGTGGGGTGGTGAAGCTAAGCAAATGTTGTGTAAATTCGACATTCCTATGTTGATGGCCAGTCTGAAAATGTGCTTTCAATAATAGCAAGACAATGTGCCTCCCTTGAACAGGCAAGCAAATTTTAAGTGCTCATCTTCAGCGGCGGTCCTGAAGCAGCGATGGAAATTTCTCATTCCCGTGGCTGTAGCCAATCTGCCCATGGGAAGAACTGCCGTTGACGTCCCACGCATTTTATTGATCGCGGAGGGAAGAATCAACCGCCAATTGGGATTTGACCTCCCGACCTTTGGATTGCTAGTTGAGTGCTCTAACCTCAGTCTCACGGCTCGGTCACACTACTGCAGGGACAAGTGTTTGTCTAACACGTGTGCCCGCAGTAGTGTGCAGATACACGAGACAAACACGTGTCACCAAAGTGGCATGCAGATGAGTTAGACCAGGGGTCGGCAACCTTTAAAAGAGGAAGTGCCACCTCTGACCAAAATAGTTCCAGAGCTGCATCACACGCACAGCTACTTGTACACAAACACAGCAGGTACACAGCAGATGACAACACACATTATGACTTAAACTAAACAGGTCGTGGAATAAACCGCATCTATTTAGTTTATTGGCCTCCTCCGTTATTCTTCAACAATACAGTTTAACTGGTGTACATTGTGTTATCAACGAGACATTCCACGGTGACCCATTCCCTGCCATATTTACTCACTTATCTGCACGTTAAAATTGCATTAAGATTTTCATAAAAAAAAAAATAGCAAACGACTAACGGCTGTCCGCAAAGGTGGGCAGCCCAAAACAGCCACAAACGGCTCCAAAGCCGCAGGTTGCTCACCCCCTGTGCTCGAGACTGACCAAGCGTCTGCACGGCAGTGTGCAGACCCGTGAAGACTGACAGCCCGCAAAGGCGGGCCTGTAAGGTACCGCGCCCCGTGTGTGTGTGTGCGGGCGCGCTCACCGCTCGCGTGCCGGGTGACGCTGTGAATGATGGTGTGGAGGTTTCGGCTCAGCGTTGCAAGGTCGTGCTGCACCTGCAGCTGGATCATGTCGGCGACGCTCACGCTAAGCTCCACCTCCTGCTGGAAAGCTGCATCACAAGCGTAACGTGCGCATGTTGTTAACACAGACGCAAAGGCGAAGGTCCCCTGTGCAGCCTTAACAGACTGTTGGGTCAAGTGCTGTTCGCGAGCACCTACGAAGGCACGCACGGCACACAAAGGGGTGGGGGTGGCCAGCACCACGCACGGCCACCTTTGTCTCCCCAGTGGCGATGTTTACACACTGCACCAGGTACTCATTTGAGGCTGAGTTGACCTAGAGGAGGCCCAGGACCGGTTTCAGATAATCGTCACTGGTGTTGGCCGTGAGCAGGAATTGAACCCGGGTCGCTGGCTTCGTAGGGCAACGCGCTAACCGCTACTACACTACCGCTCCCCACTGATATATATACACACATGTGCAACAACAACCGCCATTCGCCACTAAGTGACGGTGACGTCACCACGGCGCTTGTGCCAGGCTATGTGCACGTTAAGGCCACATATGCACACATACTCACACGTGCAAGTGTATGTGTGTAAAGGCAACACTCCTCTGTGTAGCCTACATTGACCGCTGGGGAAAGTTCAGTTAGTGAACACCTATTTAGGCCGGCACAGCACGTGGGGTGATGTGTACCAACACCACATCCAGCTGCCTCTGCCTCCCCAGTGCTTTAAACACCGCACCAGGCCCTCATTTAAGGCTGAGTCAATCTCGCGGAGACCGATAACCACTTCAGGTATCACACACTACAAATGTCAGCCATGGCTGGGACTCGAACGCAGGCTACCGGGTTTATCGTGGAGTCCAGTGATGTGCGGTGAGGTCAATGGCTGGGGAGGCACTGGCTAGCATCAGGGGGGCGTGTCCTCACTGAGGGAGGCGTGTCCACACTGAGGGGGGCGTGTTAGACAAACCCCCCTTAGTGAGGCAGACGTGATAGCTGCCTCCCCTGGTGCTTTTTTATTGCAGTTTCGTGACGAGACCAGCGAGCCTAAATATCTCTATACACGTACGTGAAATAAGTTACCTGGACTATGGAAGGCGAGGACATGTAATGAAGGGTTCTACAAACATTACATTGGTGACACACAGAGAGATAGTAACAGGCACGCACTTATTTCCCGCGCTCCATCCAGTTCCTGAGGAGTTGCGCAATCAGAGGGGAGGCTGAGCTCGTCGCTGCCTCACCTCTCTCGTCTCTTCCTGTATTTGCAGCGGAGCTCCGCAAATTTGGCGATTTTGACTATAAAAATGATTGGAATCGTACCGAAATGACATTTATAACACAGATCAGTGGACAAAATCGTAATTTTGAGTTTATTATTTTTTTACTTTTCATAACAGCTATTTTCATTGGAGTATGACAGGTGAGGCTGTTGCCTCCCCTGCCTCCCCTGACCGCACGTCCCTGGTGGAGTACGTGAAACACCAAACATCAGCGCAGAGGGCGCACAGTGCAGGGCCACGTAGCACTGGAGGTGCGCAGGTGAGGAAGGAGGGGAAAGGGAAGCAGACAACCTCACCCTGAAAAGTGAGCTCAGGAGTCAGATGCTTTGTCTTCTCAAACGCGCTGCACGCCACAGCTCCGCCCATCACCTTTGTGAGTGTCTCCACCTGCAGTCACAATAATAATAATAATAATTGCGATTACGAAGATTATAACACGGCTTTGTTTTCACAAGTATTGAGTGATGTCCGTCTTCCATTGGTGGTCCTGTGAGCCAAACGTGATGGGAAAAAAATAATATATATTAAAAACCACCTCAATTCTTGCATCTCAGTCTCTGTAAGTTATGATAATACGTTGCATCTTTGTGGGTGGGTGATTTGTTACATGCCAATTGAAGATGGTGCAAGGTAATGGATTTTTGATGGTCGATGTTGGACTACGATGATGACGATGATGATGATCACATTGACGACAGGATAAGTTGACCATTGCCAGGATTTTACAACTTTCATACCACGAGCCCCAACACTGCAGCTAATGAGCTCACCCAGGTGATAATATTAACAAGTACCGCGTTTAAATTTCGATTTAAAGCTTTCGTGACTGCAGCGATTCATATTATTGGTTCTTACGGTAAAGTCTCGTAGAAGGGAAACAATAAAATAATAAAAAATAAAACAAAATGTAATAACATTCTCACGACGTTCCGGCCACAACGCAAGCAGCCGTCTTCAGGTGAAGAAACAGAGCTGTTGGAAAGACAGCGCTGCTTACGCTGTGGCCGTGACGTCGTGAGAATTTTATTTTGTGTGTTGTTTTTATTACTTTATTATTTCCCTTCTGCGTGACTTCACTCGTTCTTTTGATTCCGATTTGTCTGGCAAGTGTTGAAGAGGAGGCCAAATATCCCTTGTAGGGGGGGGGGGGCGGGGGGGGGGGGGACTCTCTCCAGCTCCTTTTAGTGGACGACACTTTTGCAATCGATGGATCTCAGTGCAACGCATTGAATCGTCTTCTTTCGTATGGCCGATGTAGATGCGGAGCAACAGCTGCCGTTTCACATTCAGGAGGTCAGGCCAGATAAGCGTCTCAGGAGTGGCCAAGTGCATCGCTGCGATGTCTCCTTCATATTTGTGGGTCGGGCGTCGCGTCGTTGAACAGTCTCTGTTCTGGATGACCACATTCAGTTTAACGGTGCATGCAACTACGCGGCACCTTAGCCATTGCTCTAGATTGTTCACGATCTGCCCAAAGCAAAAGCATGTGTTGGCGATACTTTGATGATAACGTTGTTGTTGTTGTTCGTGAGCGATTATACGCGTTCATAAAACAGCATCTCCCTTCGCTACGATTTTATCATGAGAAATAGAGCCCAGCGTTATTTTATAATTAAAAACAAAATAACAATTAAGACGAGGAAGGAAGGCGATGATGCATTCCTCCTCAGACTTGAAACTATTTTATCAGTCAAGAACATTTTCTGATAATATTTTTACGTATGTTAAAGCAGATGCAGCATTGCTTAGATACCAACACTGTGCATAACAGCAGAACTTGGCGATTGGTAATTACAATTGCCATTTCAGAAGCTTGATCTCAGGTGTGTAACAATTCTCCCCCGTGCGATTTGATGAATTTTAACGATTCTGGGTGGCAATTTGATTCAAGAATCATTCACATAAGTGGTTAATGTAGCACCCAGAGTGGATTCAGGGGTCATATGAACTAAACATATACACCGCACACAAATGTTTGTCCGGCCAGGTGGCTTGGCGTGGGAGCTCACGGCTCGCAATTGAAAGGTTGCAAGCTAAAAATCCTGCTTGGGCGTTGGACTCAGCCCATCATCCCTCGAAGGGTGAATAAAATAGTGTACTAATTTGCCGAGAAGTCAACAGTGGGCTGTCCTCATGTAAGACTCGGCCCTTGACACAGGAATGTGGAATTTCCACGACTGGCTCAGGTCTGTGAGAACAAGGGATGAACACCACCTCAATTGCAAACTTGAGCAAGAAATCACTTTGGCAAAATAAACCATTTTTTTAATGTCACACACAACTCAGAGCAATGATCATGAGCATTAGAATCTCACTTAATCGATGAATCTGTGCATCTTTACAGGTATACCGAATTAAGTTAGTTGGTTAGTGAGCATATTGGGTGCAGTGTGTCTTTGCACGGCGCGTAAAAATGCGCAGCTCTGATTTATCGCTGCACTCCTTCCAATAGTCGAGCCACCAACAAAGGACTCTCAGGAAGAAGTGGCGGGGGGGGGCAAAAGTTGGAAAATAAAATAGCAGCACGTAAAGCTGAAAACAACAAGGACATTGCCTTCCAAGAAAAATCTAAAGTCACAAAGGTGTAAAAGTTTAATTGGAGATGCAGAACGCCCAGAGACGCATGTGGCTCTTTACGGACTGCTTCGTGACGTAATGTACATGTGTATGTGTAGTGATGTAATGTACCGTATGTACGTGTATATATGTGTGTATGTAAGTTAACACAGTATGCAGTATGGGGGGTGGTGGTGTAGCGGTTAGCGCTACGCTGCGAACCTGGCGACCCGGGTTCAATTCCCGCTCACAGCCAACACCAGTTACGATTGTCTGAACAGGTGCTGGGCCTCCCCTAGGTCGACTCAGCCTTAAATGAGTGCCTGGTACGATCTGTAAACATCGCCACTAGGGAGACAAAGGCGGCCGGACGTGGTGTTGGCCACCCACCTCTTTGTGTGCCGTGCCGACCTTAATAGGTGCTCGCTAACAGCACTTGCCCCTACATTCTGTTAAGGCTATACGGGCTCTTTGTCTTTATCTATGTAAGTTGGCACAGTAGGGGGCACAGGTGGTGCATCGGCCAGTCATCTCAGTCAGTCGACCCATGGCACGTGTTGGGTCTGGCCCGTGACCTCCTGACAACGGGCGTTCGACACTTCAGGTGGTAGCCTCAACGTTCACCAAGCCTCGCACAAGCGCCGTGGTGACGTCACCATCACTTAGTGGCGAATGGCGGTTGTTCTTGTTGTTGCACATGCGTGTGTGTATATATAAGTGGGAAGCGGTAGTGTAGCGTTTAGTGCGCTGCGCTATGAACCCGGTTCCCGCTCATGGCCAATACCAGTGACGATTATATGAACCGGTCCTGTGCCTCCCCTAGGTCGACTCAGCCTTAAATGAGTACCCGGTGCGATGTATAAACATCGCCACGAGGGAGACAAAGGCGGCCGGGCGTGGTGATGGCTAACCACCCTCTCGTATACTGATCCGGCCTTCATAGGTGCTCGCTAACAGCACTTGCCCTAACAGTCTGTTCAGGCTATACGGGGGATATTTGTCTTGTGTATGTGTGTATGTATGTGTGTATATACGTGCGTATTCACACGCATTGGGGCCCTTGAAATGTTGAGTTCTGTAACGAATTCTGGAAGAAAAAAAGGCTCTTATTATTATTATTTTGGTTTCCGACCCTCCTGCCCTAACACAACAAATAGCTATGCCAGGGAGCGTGTCGCTGATTAATGAGCTACTCCCGTTCAAAATATGACTGATATTTAAAAATGCATAAAAGCAGGACGATACTTGTTTCGCAGTCCCTCTGAGGTTCATGCGTGGGTGGGTGAAGGAAATGTTCATCTAATCTTTTCCCTGACCTTGAAACTAAAAAATTGCAAGAACATCTTGGGAAGAATGTGTGTACATAGGTGTGCAAGCGTGCGTGCGTGCGTCCGTAGGGATCCGGTGGCATGATGGTTAGCATGCTGCACAACGAACGTAAACGAGCCTCGGTTCAATCCCATGCCGCGGTCAACATTGCTGCAGAGTTATATTTTGAATCGGTCCCGGGCCTACCCTGAATTGAACTCGGCCTTCAAATGAGTACCCGGGTTCGTCGCACAAACTTCGGCACGGCAAGAGACCAAGGTGGCCGAGCGTAGTGCGGACTCCACAACCCCCCTCTCGTGTGCAGTTGTAGGTCTACAAAGGCGCTCGCTTGAAGCGGTTGCCCCCAACGGTCTATGTAGGCTACACGGAGGATCTGCGTGTGGCCTTGCTTGTAGCGAGTCACTGTAATGCCAAAACCATCAAACAACGCATCAACGGCGAGTTGCGTCATCCATGCACAACCCCGGCGGTTATCGATGCAATCCGTACAGCGTCTACTGCCACCTTGGATTGGATGAAGGACCTTAACATGCAGCTATGACGTCTGTAAAAACCGTTGCTTGCATGCCATAAGAAAGAAGAAGAAGAAGAAGAAGAATTCCAATGATCGTGGGCTATTGGCCCGTAAATCTGCTCTATTACCCTCACCAGCTTGATGCAAGTCTACACGTCCCTATCGTCAATCGTCTTTGTCGGTGCTCATTTGTCAGTCCTGAGCTAGAAGAGAAGGTTAAAGTCCGTTTTGATATGGCATCGAGCCAGACGATGAAGATGACAAGCAGTGCCTTAGCGCAAGTGCTGCTCGTTTAAAATGAGAGACGAGATGACAGGGCTGAGCAGAGCCTGGGTAAGGATTTGAAACCCCATGATCTCGCAACCAGCTGCCGGTTGCTATACCCGCTGAGCGGGGGCGCTGCGGTGGTGAGACGTTAACTACCTCGCCTGGTATACAGCAGGTCGTGGGTTTAATCTCGACCCTGACGCCTGGATATTTGTAGTTTGCACTTTCGTGTGTATTTTTCTCCAGGTCCTCCGGTTTCTCTCTCCACATTAGAAACATACGTTCACACTGTTTGATTGCCCTAAATTTACACGTAATAAGCCCACTTCGTTGAGCTATCATTTGTGGGCAGGTCACTTCTGAAAAAGCTATAAGTGGGCCTTACCTGTTAAAATAAAAATAGTTTCGTTTTAGTTTAATATCCCGGGCAGTTTAGCGCAAATCGCCTGACCACCGTTGTCGCCTTTAAAGAGTGTGGTCACCTATCCCAATAACACAGAGGGGGTTCAGAAACTCACGTTTCAGCTGTATTCGAAGCGTCAAAGAGACTCGCCGCGGAGACACCAACACCGCACGATCACATCTCCCCCATTTACAATCGCGCTCCATCGTCTTGTGTGCCCTTACGTCAGACCCATCATCAGCGTACCTGCGCAAAGAGGTGCTCCAGGCATCCCTGCAGCCTCTCGTGTCGGTCCATGGCCAGGCTCAAGGTGTCTGGCGACTCCTCACCTGGTGACAGAAAGAAAGCAGAATGGGATTGAGCAAGACAAGCCAGTATATCAGCTTATCCTATGGAGAGGGTGAAACTTGACACTACAATCCTGCATAGAATTGCATTATATGAATAACCTAAAACCCTATAGGATTTGCACAGTCACAATTATTATTTTACGGAGGTCAAAGGTTATAAAGTCATCGATATTGAATTATCAATAACAAATATCCCTGTTTCCTTCCGGTCAGGATGATTCCTTAATCGACTCTGCATGATGAAAATTACCAAATTCGTGTGACTGACTCACAGATGGACTAATGATCTATTTTACAATGTAAATCATTTGTATAATTATAAACTCTTGCTGAGAAATGTTTGCTTAATTCTTGAAGGCGTTTAAGGAATCTCCTGACGGGGTTACAATTGTCATTATTCTCTGAACTTTCGCTGATGTCAGCAGCTGCCACACCACCTATTCATCCCATTCATTGTGTTCATGTTGTGTCTCTGTGGTGTTCTCGTAGCATTATTGACATTAATGTGGTTTGCGATGTTTAGCATTGAGATGTAATTCACGTAAAATTACGCTATTTAAAATAAATGCATTATGACAATTATTAATCAGATACAAAAAAATGATAGGTACACGGATAGGCAAGTAACCGATTTTTATGCGATAAAATGTTCAAATTTAAAATCATTATAAATAATAAGACGTGTGGTAATGCGAGAGAAATATGTGCTTAAAATATTTAACATACGTTCGTGCAAATTCGTGGCGCTTAAAAGCTTCCGAAAGGTCTGAATGGGTAATGATGGCATCAGCGTGGGAAGTATAAATCTGAGGCCATCTCTCTTCACATGCCAACCAGCACCACAATCACGTCACAGAAATCTCAATAACGTGACTTTGAAATATGCAAACAAATAACAACTCCTGGAAAACGTTCAAAGCATGAATGCCAAATCTCGATAATCTGCCGTTTATATTTCTCCAGCGGACCACCGTCGCACAGACTCCCGGTGAAATGTATCAGGAAATATGGCTTGGGCTGAAGTAGCCATGAGGCTCACAGAGCCCATAAAGCCCTTGAAAGGGCACTGAACTGGCACAACTGAAATCCTGGGCTTCAAAGTCAGGCAGCCACCCACGCTCAAACCACATTCTCAAATGTAGAATACATTGGTGGTCTCAGCCCATTCAATAATAAGTGTACAAAAAACACATTGTGCGCATTTTCACTTCATTTAATTGGGTTTTTAGCCAGTTTGGGCGGTCATTAAATGGATGCATTTCACATACCCAAGCTTCCTTTGAAAAAAAATATATGATTAATTGCAGATGCTGCCATCTGGGTTAGACAGGATCCATCAAGGAGACGCAAAAAAGGCATTCTTGTGATGTTGTCATCATCATTATCTGCTATCGTTCCCTGATGAACATCTCATCAAGGCATGATACCAGCAGAGAAGTTGATGCCGTTGCAATGTGGCCTGATGTGGGTGAGGTTTGTACAGACGGCCCTTTGTTAAAACCCCCGCTGGATGAGGGCCTACCAACAGCGTGGCGGGTCATGTCGGTTTATCACCACGCTTGACCGATCTGATCAGAGTGGGTTGGTGCGGTGGGGTGCGTAGATGGGAAAGCATAGAAGTACGGTCCAACAGTGGATTTACTACACTGCCCTCTGCTGTATCCCCGCAGCCATTAACCACCTTTCTGTGCATGGTGGTCCCCGTACAAGCAATATCTAGGCTCTACCCTACTTAGCTACAAATATCTGATGAGATTAGGGCCACTTAGCGGTTGGTGGATCGTATAATTCAGCGATAATTGGTGAAGGACCAAAAGGAAGCCACTGGAGCAATGCACTTTTAAAATCGAGATTGAAAACTAATTTTTTTTTCGAACTGCTTTTTGCGTTTAGTTTGTTCTCCTCTCCCGCGCACCTCCAATTTGCACGATGCGAAAGAAATTCAACATACACACGAAACGTACAACAGGGGAGTGTGAAAGAGGTAGGAACAGCCACCTGTGATCAGGCCAGGTGATTGAGCTCAGTGAGTGCGGTTGACAGGGTCTCAGGTTCACACGCGCCGCGGCTCACCCGAGTCGACATCGTCGCTTAGCAGAGAGGAGCATCGCTGACTGCCGCAGTAACTCGTGAGAGACATCACGGAGTTGCGGTGGCTCGGGCAGTCGCTGCACAGCAAAGGCAACAAAAGACCCCTCAATTAATTTCAAATATTGCTGCTTTTTTATACCAAGGCTTTTACAAAATGTGTCGGCAGACATCGCAGTCTCAATATCATAATCATCGTCATCATCACAGGAATAAGTCGCAATCGTTTGGCTGAACTTCCCTAACTCTCCCTAAGGACTTGTAATCCTGCAGTCGAACAACCCACGAATGTTTAATGATTTTCCACTTATTCTTAGTTTTTTCGGTAAAGTCACGTTGAAGAGAAACAACAAAATAATAAAATATATATAAAACAATGATTTTCCACTTCTCAAAGTGGACGGGAGACTCTGAAATTAATCGTCAGCATTATTCATGGTGGCAGAGCATTATCAACGATCATTATCAGCCATGATCTGTCAACTGCTGGATGAAGACCCCCCCCCCCCACCCCCCATGGCCGTTGCCACCTATCACAAGCTTGCGATGCTGCAATACACCTCAATCCTGCATGCCACCTGATCTCATTGCTACATCTCTGCAGTGACCATCCTCTAACGCATGTTCTCTCCTCTGACTGCCATTCCATCATGATTTCTCACCCATCAGCCATCGTCATCCCCTTCTAGCGATGTGTTCTCGCCAAGCCCACCACCAACTTTCTTTAATGGTTAATGTGAAGTCTTGGAATGTGCACTCGTTCGTCGATCCACACACCTAGCAACTGCACAAGTAATTATCGCAAATTGTCATCGTCGAATGTGAAGCGCACACATTGCTTCCCGTCGATAACCAGTCGCAAATCTGCATGTCCATATCGGCAGCCTCACTCCTCGCTCCGTCTCTCGGCCCGCACGCCGGGGGGCCATCGCCCACCCCCCCCCCCCCACCCCTCACCTGTAGGAGTCGCGGTTGCTCGTGGCTGTGTCGTGGCCCGAGTCCTCCTGCTCCTCCTTGAGCACCTCGAAGCTGACCTTGCGCGGCCGCTCCGCGTCGCCCTTTCCTCCGTCCACGTTTCCGCCGGCGGCCACCTCCAACCCCCCCGGGTGCCGCCTCTCACCGCCGCCGCCGCACGTGGCCGCCCCTTCCGCGGCGGCCACCGCCGCTTTGCCGGGCCCCGCGTCCCCGTTGCACGGGACCTCCGCGCACGACGCCGAGGCCGTCGCCCTGGCGACGGCGTCGCCGCCCGCGTCTCCGTTGGCGGAGGGCCGAGGCTCCCTCTCGCCGTGGCCGTTGGAGAGGCCTCGCTCCCGCGTCCTCTCCACCGCGTCGGCGGACTCGCCGCTCTCCATGAGCACGGCAAGGAAGCTGCGTGCGGGAACGGCAAAAAGGGGGAAGCGGGAAACGCGAGGCGAGGTGCGTTCTCACACCGGGCAGGCGTGCCCGTGCTGTCTTGGCTACGTTCACAACGAAATGTCACCAGGGTCCCAAAGGTGCCCCCTTATTCTGGCTCTTGAGCCTCGGACATTGATATCGAGCCTTGAGAATCCTATGGCTGTCACTCTCGCTCTGTTCTGCCTGTCCAGCATCAACACTGAACCCTAAAAATCATGAAGGTCCAGTATTCTGGCTCTCTGAAAAGGGCGAGCCTTGCACATGCACAATCATCGATGGCTTTGACTGGCTCGAACAACACCCAAATTTACGAATCTCAAGGTGCCTTAGCTTAGTTGTCGGTGTGCTATTGTGTCATTTTGTGTCTACACAACTACTAGTCATGCGTTCTTACCCGATTAGATTACAAACGAACGATCTTCAAGATTAAATCAACTGTGTTTGCCAGCGCTATGAAGTGACATCAAAACACCCCGTGCTTCAAAATATACATGGCAAAATGCAATTGTTAGTTGATTTAAGAGCAACATCTGCAACACCATAGATTTATTGGGGTGGTTTGTTATCCGTCGCTAACACTCACATTTTTATCCACATAAAACGATTCAACTCAATGTTTTCTTTTTATTTTACCAAGTAAGGCCCAATTAGCGATATAGCTAATTTTTCAGAAGTAGCCTGGCTATAAATGATAGCTCATCGGAGTTGGCTTATCACGTGCAAAAGTTTAGCAGCCAAATACCCTCACAGCATGTTTTGTAAATGTGGAGGGGAAAACTGGAGGGACCACACGACCACGGGGAGAGAGACATGCAAGCTCCAACTATTACAGGCGTCAGCGTCGGGATCAAACCCAGGACCTCCTGTATACCAGGCGAGGTAGTTAACATTTCGCCACCGCGGCGCTCGAGGGTGGCTACACCTGCCCACAATATCTGGCCACGCAGTGGCGGTACTTTTGCCCGGTGCGCTCATGGTGCTGACGAACCCCGGTGAAGTTGAAACCAATCCCGTTTAATGAATAGGGAGAAAAGAATTAGACCCTTGGGCTAATTAACTCAACTGTATTTCCTTTTCAACGATTGAGCAAACTACCATGATCCAATCAGAGAGAATGTTGGTGCTAATACATATTAGGTTGAGCAATTTATCCATTCTGCTTGCTATCTCGAAATATGGCTGAAGCGATGGTGCAGCGGTTGTTGGATCACTGCGCTATCAACCCGGCCACCTGCGTCCAATTTCCAGCGACAGCCAACATCAGCGGCGTCTGCTATCGGAACTGGTTGTGGGTTTTGCCCCTTGAGCGTTCAGTTTATTTGACTTGTTACAAGGATGACGGTCCCGTTTAGCCAATTGCCTGGCTATTTTACACGGGAGGTCTGTGGTGCGTGAGTGCAGCATCAACAACGACGTTGCACAACCAACAAAAACGAGGTATTTCACGGTCGGGAAACGAAACACACAAAAATTAGAACAAACAAGAAATCAATCACCAGACCACATTGACCAGAGTGGAGAAGCTTGGATAAACATCCTCCGCTGGCTGAACATTACGATGAAAACATTTTTGAGACATTACAAGAATAATATCACATTCCTGTTTGCTTGACAATGGATATCTCCAAGGCTCTTCTATATGCATATGGCTCTTCAGAATAAATGTATTCAGAAAATGCATCTGAGCTCAAGCATCGTCTCGCTCCGACTACTAGAGCTGATGTTAATCACGCCACACCGAGAAGCCGTTTTAGGCTGGGTCCACCTCGTGGAGACCCAGGCTTAGGTTTAAACACCAATTTCTAACCCAATACACATCCTGACTTGAAACTTTCGTGACTGCAGGAATTCATATTCTTGGTTCTTTCGGTAAAGTCACGTAGATAGAAAATAAAATAAAAGATAATAAAATTTAATAAAATTAAAATTAAAATAATAAATTGAAAATAACAAAAGCAAAAAAAAAACCACGACGTTTCGATTGCAACACAAGCAGCCTCCGTCTGATGAAGACCGCTTGTGTTGCGATCGAAATGTCGTGGTTTTTTTTGCTTTTTTTACTTTCAATTTATTATTTTTCTTTTATTATCTTTTATTTTGTACTTAATTTTCTATCTGCGTGACTTTGCCGAAAGAACCAAGAATGCAGCACACATCCGAGAATGGAAGCAGTTCAGCAGGATCGTAACACCGTGCGGCGTAAACCACAACAACAGTCGCCTCCCTCCACCATCGCGCCACCAAGCCCTACCTCTGCACTTGCGCCGAGCCCCTGTGAATCTCGCGCATCACCCCCTCGATCTTGGCCAGCAGTTGCGTCCAGGCGTCCCTCGTGGGAGCGCCCACATCCCTCGCCCCGTGGGGGGTCCTGCTGCTGCTGCTGCTGCTGCCGCTGCTGGTGGTGGTGGTGGTGGTGGCGGCGCCGCCAGGCCCCGGGCCGTCCCCGGCGCTGGGCCCGGCTCCAGAGGGAGAGTGGCCCCAGGGAGCGCCCATGGTACCCACGCAGTGCTGCACGTACACCATGGGGCTGAGCTTCCCGACCGCTGGGACACGGAGGAGATATCGGGACCACGCGGAGCCCACACGGGGAGAACACGGGGAGAACACGGGGACCACATGTGAATTTTCCACTGGGCACTCTGGTTTCCTCCCCCATGTATAAATGCTCATCGCCAATTGGCTGAAAGCATCTTACGACATTACTCTTTTGGTTCTTTCGGTAAAGCCACGTAGATAGAGGCAACACATATCTTACGCTATATGTAGCCTCCAATGTGTTGCGGGGTTGTGCATCCATTGTCAAACGCAGTTTTCACGAACAAAGCCGTTGTACGTATACAATTTTTGTTTTTTTTATTTTTACACGTACGTAAACGCTGCTTGTAAAGGAAAAAAATAAAAGTGGCGCACGCAAATACCTTGCTCCCCGCCCTCCCCGCTCAGGTGGGCAGAGGCGGCCGCGAGGGCGTCGGGGTCGATGCGGCTCTTTGGCCGTTCCGTTCGCACCCCGAGCGAGGAGCCGAGCACGGTGGAGTCGCGCGGGTACGACACCTCCAGCACGTTCAGGTGGCAGTTGGTGGGGCAGAAGTCGCTCCCGTGGAGGCTGGGCGTCCGCGGCTTGGCCTGCTTGAACGTGGGCCAGGCTTTGTTGCGCAGCGTGCGGGCGAACTGCGGCACGCGCGCACGCGCACACACACGCATGAGCGCGCAAGCGCAGAATAAAAATCCGTCGGGGGCCGCCACAGGTGAGCGCTGCGGCCAGATGTTGCGGGCAGGAGTAGCCACCCTCAAGCGCCGCTGCGGCGAGATGTCAATGACCTCACCTGTTTGTAAAAGGAGGTTGTGGGTTCGATCCCGACCCTGCCGCCTGTATACTTGGAGTTTGCATGCCTCTCGCCGTAGTCGCGTGGAATTTTCTCCGGTTCCCTCCGGTTCTTCCCCTCCACATTTATAAACGTGGGTTCAGAGTATTTGGCTGCGATACATTTCCACGTGAAAAGCCCACTTCGTTGAGCTATCATTTGTAGTCAAGGTCGCTTCTGAAAAAAGAGCTACATTTCAGTGGGGCCTTCCCTGGTAAAATAGAAAGTTTAATTTCGTTAGGAAAGGTTCAAGTTCAATGTTCCTCTTATGTTTGGTGAAGTGGCTTAGCAGCACGCAATCGGAAGGTTACGAGTTCACATTCTGGTTGGGATTTGACTCAGCTCATCATCCCTCTGAGGTCTAATAAAATGTTAAGTTTCTATCGCACCGTACGTAGCCAACCGTGCTTAGCAGAGGTGCGGATGAAGGACAACAAGCTAAATGCAAATATCAGTTTGAAAGAAATTAGTTTACAATCTAGATTTAAAAGTGCACGTTCTCCAGAAATACATGGGTTGTTTTTGCTGTTTTGCTGCCTTTCTCAAGCTTCGAAATGTATGTACTTATGCAATTTTAGCTCACATTTATGTGCGCATGTATTTCTATTTATTTATTTCTTTTCAGTCATTTGCTTACCCTTTGATACTTTGCACTCTGATCTTTTTTTATAGTTTGGTGTAACTTTCTGACCTGCCTCTACGGATCATCATAGCTCATCGGATTTCTACAGGATAAATAAAGATTCCGATTCCGATTCTGTTGTTCGCCGGGTACTCTGTTGAGCCCATTACCACACAAAACTGGCCAAGTATCCGAAAGCAGGATGTTGCTTAACAAGAATGTCGAAACTAGGGTGAGGTTTTAATGGGAAAATAACTATCGTTACTTAAAGAGTGATAGATGTAAATATAATACAGTAAGTCCCCGGGTTGCAGAATAACCGACTTACGGAAATCCGACCTTACAGAAATGTAAATATGCAGAATTGTGTGCGTTAGTTACATGAGCAAAAGTAGTGCAGCGTGGTGAGGTTGCGGATGAATACCGCAGCGCGAGGCGTGAGGCAGGCCCGGGCCACCTCACGCCTTTTGAAGCTTTCTGTTCTGGAAAATTGTTCAGTTTCCGACATTACGGCAAATTCGGGTTACGGATCGTTCGCGGGAACCTAACCCCTCCGTAACCCGGGGACTGCCTGATTTGAAATAATTTAAATAAAAAAGTAAGGCTGCCCTTTCTGGAGGCATTCATGGATTACGGTGGCTTACGGAGAAAGTGGAACACGTAAGTGGGGGTCTCTGTGCCTCTCAGAGCAAAGCATTCCATTCATTTGTTTCCACAGCTGGCTCAGGCAACACCATGATGGGAATATATTTGTTAGAGGAATAAACAGCCATTGAAAAAAAAAACTAGATGAGGAATTTAAACATTTATGGAAGAGAGATGCTACTAGAAATACAACGCTATGATTTACTGCCCGAACTTTAAACCAGTGGGCCAAAAAAAAAACACCCACTGATGCACACACAGCGTATCGGGCAGAAATAAATAATCGTTAACAAAATAAATCTTTTGAGTTTTTTTTTTCTCGTTGCCTTAAAAAATGTAGCTATTATGTAAAACTGATGTCATTATTTATTGACAGGGGGCTTGCTCTTCACAATTTAAGGTCACGGGCTGAAATGTATGATGTCAAAATGTGTGCGCGCGTGTGGCAACATTGCTACGTCTAGGGGGGTTGGGGGGGGGGATAAATATTTGCTGCAAAACATGCAACATCGATTTAAGTTGATACGAGTTTAGATCAATTTAAGTATCTCCCTGCTCATCTCAACCAGAGACACATATTTATCATGGCAACCCCAATGAACAATACTGACTTAGTGGTACCCATTTTATTTTCTGGAAACGATGATGGGCCGAGTCAAACCTCAACTGGGATTTGAACCGACAACATTTCAAATGCTGAGCACTAACTGGAGCACCACTTGGCCGTACTATACACACCGCATGTAAAGAATACAAATCTCAAAGGAACGAATGCACAGTGAAAGGTCCCTTATCTGCGTCGCCATGGAGGGGCGTTAAATGTGGGCATGGCGGGTGGATTCTACTATCTGTGCCTATCCATAAACATTAGCCCTGATATCCACGGTTAGACAATGATAAGAGGATACATTTTTTTCCGACCACACCCAAATTACCCCTCTTAATCACGGATAAACGCGAATATCCCGATGAATTTGCCATCACTTCTTGGGCACTTCTAATTAGGTGAAATACCTATTTGAATAATGATTCACGGATAATAGATTTTACTCAAGTTGGTTTGGGTTTCGGGTAATGGAAGTTGCGGAAAATGTGACCGCAAATAGAAAGAGACATTTCATTTTATACACTTAAACCATACGCGAGTAGAACTGAGCACTTACAATTTTATAATTGACCAATTACAATAATTGATCGATGTAACTGTATATATATAGAGTTTGAGTTTTCAATTGCTAAAATCACATCGACGCCCCCGTTGTGAGAAAAAAAGGAAGTTGGGATTGAGCGTAAACTTTCAAGGGAAACAAAAACAAAAAATCTGCAGGGAAATTCAAACACCGTCTTATTTTTGTCACAGTCTGTTGGTCATTGGTCACATTTTCCCCTCACTGAGAGACCATGAAATTACCGACTGGAAATTAGCGAATTGTCCATGCGTTCATGCAAACCGCCACGTTTTCAACATGCCTCTTGCTCTCAGTCCCAGCAGAATGCCCTCCGTAAAGTGTAACAATCACAAAGATGCCCCCTCCCTCCCGTATAGCCTGTAACAGGCTGTTGAGGCAAACTCTGTTAGCGAGCACCTACAAAGGCCGGCCCAGGGGGTGGGTGGCCAGCACCACGCCCGACCGCCTTGATCTCCCCCAGTGACGATGTTTACTACACACCGCAGCAGGTACTCATTTGAGGCCGAGTCGACCTAGGGGAGGCCCAGGACCGGTTCAGATAGTCGTCACTGGGTGTTGACCGTGAGCAGGAATCGAACCTGGGTCGCCGTGATCGTAGTGCAGCACGCTAACCCGCCGCACTACCGCTCCGCACTACCGTAAGTGTAGCACGCACACACACAGAGGCGCATTTCCCGAAAGGAGCCTCCATCCAAAAACGTGGGTGTAATACTCGCGACGTTTTAAAGCATTCATTGTTACTGGCTACGGTTGAATGAAAAATCTGGGCAAAAACAAGCGCAGGGAACACATAAACGTTGTTGCCATTGGCAAGCGATTTTTCATTTGAACCTGCTGGAGGCCTGAAAAATGTAAGACGGTTCTTTTTTTAACAACGCACCGTGTGATTTCCGTGCGCGTACGATGTTTCTATCATGGCTACCGTTTCACCTGACAGACGAAAACATTGCGCCTTATATATGAACTAGCCTTTTGCCCATCCATTCGTGTGCAATTTGTAAGGCCGCGGTGACACAGACTTATTTCATTGAAATGTTATAATCCCTTGTTCATCACGACGTCCTTTTACAATAGCGTCACGGAGATCGCGTGACGTGAGGGGTTCTGCCTTTGTAGTGAGGGCTGTAAGTTGACGATGAGGAGGGGGTAAGGAGGCGCCTCGCCCCCCCCCATATGGAGTGACGTCAGCCGCTAATTATTATTAATGGCAGGGGGGGTGTCCATTTGGAAGACGTCGCCTCTTCATGATTATTAATGAGGGGGGCTGTTCGATGCGGAGTGACGTCACCTGCTCATGATTATTAATGAGGGGGGCTGGCCGACGTGGAGTGACGTCACGCGCGGGACACACAGACGTTCTTGGCTCATTATAGTGGTACGTCACACAAGAGGGGTGTGGCCACAATTCCACACACAATTTGCCTCGGCGAAATCATAGCTGGAGGCAAAACGATATCCATTCCTATTCTCTCAAGTTCAGGCCGTCGAATTCGGACAGTAAAAATCGACGTGCGAGTCATTTATTTTCAACTCTCTTTGTACCCTGCGACACCGCTCCTGTGTATTTGACCATAGTCTCTGGATTATGATACGCCCACGAAAAGTAAAACGCATCCAAAACTTGTGCCCCGTTCCAATAAAGTTCTACAAATGTTTTCACACACAAAGACCCCCCCTCCCTCCATATAGCCTTAACAGATTGTTGGGGCAAGTGCTCTAATGAAGCACCTATGAAGCCCGGTACGGCCACAGAAGGAGGGTGGGTGATGGCCAGCACCACGCCCTGCCGCCTTTGTCTCCCGCATCCTCATCTGAGGCTGAGTAAATCTAGGGGAGGCCCAGGACTAGAATCAGAAAAGCATCGCTGGTTTTTACCGTAAGCGGGAATCGAACTTGGGTCGCTAGGTCCGTAGCTCCCCTCCCCCCCCACACCTATCACGTTATAAGAGACAACCCCAACGTCTACTTTAAACTACGGGGGGAGAATTGAATAAGGTATAAAGTACCAAAACATAGCAGAAACTCCGTTTTAATATTAAATCTGCCATAAAATGATCTATTTTATTGGGAACGAAAATCAATGGGGAACAAAGTCTTCTTTAAAAAAAGGCACCTCAAGTGCATCTCAGGACAGACGCAAGACGAGGGAAAGCCAAGCAGCGGTGGAAGGCAGTAGTAGTAGTTTTTTTTTATACATTCGTGGGAGACGTTTTGAGAGCAGAATCACACGCCAGGCAACAGACTGGAAACCTCTAAGAGCCTCGAGCACGCGCACACACACACACAGCCAGCCTCGTATTCCCCAAACCCCTCAGCAATTCCTATCCAGCTCAAATCCATTTAAAGACTTTTGTCCTTGCCCCATTTTTTTGGTTGTTCACGCTCTCAGTCTGCATCTTTTTAAAGCCTCACTAAGTTTCGGTTGTCTAAAAAAAAAAGAAAAACACGCTTACCTTCTCAAGCAAACACAAAACGGAGGAGTCACATTGACCGGTGAAGAGAAAGTCAGCGTGACTTGGGTAGGCAAGTATGGCAATCGTTACAAGGGAAAGATGGCCCGGTGGAACAAGACTGGTGACAAATTCGAACTGGTGACCTCACGGTTTTCCATAGAGCACTCTCTAACCACAGTGACAGCGCTCCTCGCTAACCGAGTGGCAATGCAGAGGAGCGAGAGCGCACGCAAAGGGGGTCAACCACCATGGAGGCAGAGTGAAAGCGATTGGCTCGCACACAGGTGTGACGCGGATTGTGGCGTTGCGTGCAGAGGCCTTCATACAGCAGTGGATAGGCCAATTACGATTACTTTCTAAAAACAAGCAATGGGAGCTTCGCTCTCCTCCACTCGTAGTCCTGAGCTCGCGGTAGAAACCCCGTGTGTCCCAAGGCAGAGTGTAGTACCTGTATATAATAATCACAATTGACTACACACAAAGTCGTACCAATTTTAATCGACCGTGTAGAAAATGATTTGGCACGTTTCGTGACAGGTACTGCAAGATCCGACCATGTCCCGTCTGGTGCTCCCCAAGCTCCATTGGCTTCCGGTTGCTGAACAAGAACACTCATTGCACACGAAGTACTTGCCACAAATGAACCACAATACCTTGCTGATCTCGTCAAGAAGCGTAAACCATCAAGCAAACTCCGGTCATCCTCGCAGCAGGTTTTGGCTACTCACCGAAGAAAGACGCTCACTGCATCGCGCTTTTTAAAATCTGGACTGAAAACTTGTTTCTTTAGAGCTGCTTTTTGCGTTTTAGTTTGTTGTCCTTCCCCCGCACCTCCGATTTGCACGGTTGGCTACGTACGGTGCGATAGAAGTTCAAGACACATAGATGCAACAAAGTCAAGCCCCAACCGGTAATGAAAATAATAACAATCCGATGTTGTATTGAGCACTCCAACCGCAGTGTTCATTGGTCGCGTTAATGAATTGCACTGGGAACCTAGCCTGTCAGCGTTGTGTTCCTGACCAGGGCCAACATCACAGTCGCCCAAGCATCTCCGCCCACATAAGCCAACCCACACTGACCAGCGTGGTGAAGTACGGTCGCACAACCCCCTGTGACCGACATGGCACAGGGAAGGCCATCATTCAGCAGTGGACCGACAAGTAATGTAAATTGTTTGTTACTGTGACGCAAGTAGCAATTGAAGATATATTTAAAGGCCACGATTCAAGCCAATAATAGATTCTACATGTCTTGTTTTTACGATCCCATTCATAGTGGTTCGCATGTTTCCTATTTATAGAGTTCAGTTCACTCCACGAGCTTAAATGCAACATTAGCGTGCAAAATTCCATGTAATTTGCATACACCGCAAATCTATTTTCACATCCAAGATTCGATGCATGTATCATAACATACACGACTTCCTCTCTGGCTTCTCTGTGTGCCGTGAAGAAGGAAAATTTACTCTTTTTTTTTCCTTTTCAAGCCATTGTTATTGACGAATGTACTGAGTTTTCATACACTATAAGTGTAAGGATCCATGTTAATCATTGAATAAATTCACCACGACAGGCCTCTTCTATTCAGGGCTCAATTTGTTTCACCGAATAGTTTCCATTTCGGCGGTGGACTCCAATAGGCACGTGACTAATATCACACGGCACGTAGTGAGAGGTCGCAATGGATAGTGGAGCGTTGCCGGATGCCGAAATATGTTGCGGGCCACAAACCCAAACAAACCACCGGCCTGAAATATTATTTCATTAAATCCCCGCTTCTACGTAATCCATGAATTTGTCGGCAGGCGGACGGACGCAGACAGACAGACAGACACAGCCGCCCGTATTTGGTCAACAACTGTAATTGAGTCAGCCGACAGCGCCACAGACATCCTTAGAGGGAGGCCTTGAAGCATCACAGCTTCCAGCCCGGCAACCACTTCTTCCGCAATAGAGAAGTACGCTCCCAGCCTACATATTACCACACGTGTGGGACCCGGGGTCCGTCGCTTTGACAACATCCATTTCTTAAGAGTCGTAATGCTGGGGAGGGAGGGGGGCTGGCCTATTTCCAACAGCTCCGGCATGTGTCATATGCACGTGTATGTATAAACATTTGTAAGCACACACGCGCGCGCGCGCATTAAAACACTGGTTTTGCTTGCAGCCGAATATTAGCTTTTTAAATGTTTCACTAACTGGAGACAGCGCATTGTAAAATGTGGTTTACGGTCAAATGTCCATATTTTCTCTGAATTTCCTCCGGTTCATGACCGCGACTATCCGAATTGCGAATGCCGTATCCTACACCGTGTCGGTTGCGTGGATTACTTCGCCATACTTCACCACGCTGGTCACAGTTGCGGGTTGGTGAAGGGTGGCGGGGGGGGGGGGGGAGGCATCAAACTCTGGGCAGTGGGCTTACAGCGTAGTAAATTAACCACCGTGTCAGTTGCATTTTAATGCATAGTTTAGAAGGCAACGTTGTCAAATGGTGATAATCGTGGTGAAGACTTTTCTTGAGGACTGCTCTCAATGACATGCTTTCATCTTCAAATTGCTCTACTGCACTTGTATCTGTGTCTGAGCATCACTCCATGTGAGAGAATGGGCCCCCTTGAAGATGAACCGCACACAACCTCCTCCTCTCTGATCTAACACTACTACATGGCCAACATTCATGCTCTGTGACGGGTCCCCCCCTACCACACGGTAAATGTTACCCCGCGGAGCTGGTCGTAACGTTCTTACCCGCCCCTACCGGACATCTGTGGAGAATGGCTTTGCAGCTAATCAGATTCCTCCAGTAATAAGTAAATATTCTGATTGATTCTGGACAAAGCCAAGCTAAGAGAAAGTAATCGTAACACGCATTTGTTTTGTGGCCATTATTCACTGGGCTAAGACCGTATCTTGTGTTATGTAGATTAATAAAGTGCCTTAATCAAAAGGCGCGTTATAACAATTATACACATTGTACACAGGATGATAGTGATCGATATAAAGAGCAGGATTATCACAAGTGGTGGTGTAGTTATGGTGACAGGAGAACCACCAAGACCTAGCAGCGGCTTTTGGCTGGCCATCGAACAGAGACAGCCACCGCATCGCACGCTTTCAAATGGGTTCTGGGGCCGTCTGGAACGCTCTCCCTTCTGGTATTAGGATGCCAATGGGGCTATGCACTTTTAAATCTAGATTTAAAACTCATTTCTTCAGGACTGCTCTTTGTAATTAGTTTGCTGTCCTTCCACCGCACCTCTGAATAGCACGGTTGGCAATTAAGTGGCTTATCATATGTAAATTTATAGCAGCCAAATACTCTGAACACATGTTTCTAAATGTGGAGAGGAAAAACGGAGGACCCAGAGAAAAATCAACGCCACCACGGAGAGAGAGAGAGAGACACACAAACTCCGAATAAACAGCAGGCGTCAGGGTCGGGGTCGAACCGACGACCTCCTGCATACCAGCCACGTTGGCGAGTTAACATCTCACACCACCGTGGCTCCCCTACTCCATTAAGGCCCAGGTAGCAGTGAGGAGGCCCAGAACCGGCCGAGCTATTCATCCCCGATTTTGGCCCGTGAGTGCGGCAATCAAACTCAGGTCACCGCGGTTCGTGTCGCAGCGCGCGAGCCGCTACACGCTCCACGCTGTCCACGGCGTAACCCGCGAAGGCCTGCGCGGGTCGACCGTTCACAATCACCTTCTTGTAGGCCACGATGCGCTTGTTCAGCTGCTGCGTGGTGCTGTCGCGCAGACGCGCGGCGCCCTCGCCGGCCGCTGCCACGGCCGTCCCGTCGCACACGGCCTCGCTGCTCTCGCCATCGCGGCCATCCGAGCCGGCCCGGTTCACGCTCGTCTCGCCGGACGGCGTGGAGGAGGAGGAGGAGGAGGGGGCGGCGTTCGTGGTGGCGGAGTCGCGGGGACGGCCGGGCGGTGCGGGCGCGACGGACGTCTCCCCCGCGAGGCGCTCATCCTCCGCGCTCAGCATCTCAAGCACCTGCGGGGGCGGCCAAGCGTACGTCAGACAAAGATCCCCCGTGTGGCCTTCACAGGCTGTTGGGGCAAGTGCTGCTAGCGAGCGACACCTATGAAGGCCGGCGTGGCACACGAGGGGGCGGGTGAGCAGCACCACGCCCGGCCGCCTTTTTGTCTCCCTTGCAGCGATGTTTACAGGTACTCACTTGAGGCCGAGTCGACCTAAGGGGAGGCCCAGGACCGGTTCAGATAATCGCCACTGGTGTTGGCCGTGAGCGGGAATCGAACTCGGGTCGCCGCGTCCGTTACGCCACGCGTAGACACACACACGCACGCACAACTGCACACAGCGGCCCTTTTAAAAGGTAAATTTAACCATGATTCGCTTGCCATGGCCATCGCAACTGCTGCTGAAAACTGTTTATCCATGCAGTGTTCAAGTTGCTGCCAGTAGCTGGTAATCAGGAGGGGCACCACCCTTTGACGGTGACAGTGAAACATCACTGCCCCCGAGCCGAGCCGTAAGCCGAACATTAATGTGTTCTTCTTTCATTGCCACAGATAACGTTTTCGATAAGTGCGTGGCCTCTCAAACGAACTCTGCCCCTCACCATTCTAGGCATGCGACATCACCCAACCGCCACATCAGCTCACGCAGGGGTGATGTTTTTGAATGCCAAAAGCATCAGACGCATGGACACGACCCAAAAGGGTACCGACTGTGTTTGCAATACTCAAGCTGCTTGCATATTCATTATTTCTGGACAGGCACCACCAAATTCCTAAAACCCAGCCGGTACATAAATACACATTTCACAAGCACAGCAGGCGGCCTCCAAAAACCCGAACAGGTGGAGCCTTTGGTGTCCGCGTTTGAGGCATCACCTCACAGCACCCGATAATCGTAGCGTGCTGTGTTGGACAGTGTCACAGGCCATGCATGGGGTTGGGAGTTCCAAAAAGTGAAATGGCAATGAAAAAAAACCTCCCTCCTCCTTGTGTAACTTGAAACGGTCGGTAAACACCGCCTACACCTGTGTGTCCATTAGGAGCCCTTGCGAGGACACGCACGTGTTTTAAATTAGCCACGGACCGTACCACTTTTTTGAACGGGGTGTTTTTCTCATCTGTTTTTCTTCGGAGGACGGCACTTGACTGAAAAATATGACATTGGAGAGTGTGTCGCAGACGGAGGTACGGATGCCAATTATGTGTACTCTTTGGTTATTTTTTTTTTTTAAAGCGGGAGGTGTGTTCATGCAACGTCGCAAAAAATAGAACTGGCTCTCATCAACGCATGCACACAACCCACACGTCGGCAGAGATCCCATTGTTGGGCCATGTCGACAGTTTTGGGCACGTTTTGGTCGTGAGCTCCTATTACTGAGGCCAGCACAACACATGGAGGGGACCGTACGTCCATCACCACACGCACACGAACTACCATAGCCTCCCAGCATTGATATTGACACACGACATAACGAGGGTTTGCTCATTTTAGATTGAGCAAAACATGTAGCGGTGGTCCAGACCAGACCTGGGGTTGAATGTACTGCGTTGCCTATCACTGCCAAAGTATAACAGCTGGATCACTGGGACCTAAACCAAAACACATTCCACAGACAACAAGAAAAAATGACGTGGCGAATTATGTTAGCGAGCGCCTATTAAGCAGCGGGGTTTGGCCAGCGACACACCCCATCTCCCCTCATGTTTACATACCACTCATTTAAGGCTGAGTGGACCATCAGGTCTGGCACTGATGTTAGTGGTGACTGGCAATCGAAATCAAGCCACCGAGTTTGTAGTGAAGTGCTTACACCACAGCGCCACCACTAAATACAATTTACATTTGACACATACCCTTGTCCATTGAGATACCTGTACGATAGCCACCCTATATCTGTATAATTTGTCTACAGCTTCATCGTAATTGTACTACGATCAGTCTAAAAATAATCTGCACGAATCGACTTGTGGTCCAAGGAATGTATTATTTATTTAACATTTATTTGCACTCTGCGCAATGTTTTCCATGTCTTCATGTTGACGCAGATGTCTTTGCTTCGTTTGGCTCTATTTTATTTGTTTCGCTTTTGTCAGCTTTGGTGACCTGGGTCACTCTCGCAAATGATGATACACGGCGGGTCTCGTGAGCTCTCACCTGGTTAAACAAATAAACTTAACCTTGCACAGGCTACCCAGGAGATTTCATCACCTTTCACTGGAGTGCGGCCAGAAGGCGGAGGAGGGGGGGGGGAGGGAGATACTAACAAAGCAGCCGAGGTGGCTGCTGCACCACCGAGACATTGGCATTGGGGCACGACAACACTGGGGCAGATGGTTTGACTAAACCCCTCCCCCCGCCCACCCCAAGAGGCTCTTGCTGCCCTCGCACGATGGCCGTGTCACACTCACCCGCGTCACCCCCCCCCCCCCCCCCCAACTCTGCCGTTCTTTCCCGCTGGCGGCGATGACAAGCTGACAAAGCTGCGGGGGTCTTTGCTGGCGAAGCTCACGGCGCGCGCGTGTGGGGGTCGTGGTCGGATATGAAACGACCTGGCAACAGTCACTCGCGACGGGTTTTTTTATGTTTTGTTTAAAGGGCGCGCGCGCGAAAGAGACGCGCCAGAATTTGCCACCTTCCGCCGCTGCCATCAAGCGAGAAGCCAAGCGGGCCACCGCTCCAGATCTTTCAACTTCCCAGACGTGCAAAAAAATTACACGGCGAGTTAGGGTAACGTTCTGGCCACATGCTGCCGTGGTCTCAGAGCTGCTGGGCTAAGCTGGAAATATTTTTTTTCAGCGTCCAATTATCTGGATGAGATGATCTCTACTTTGTCACGGGCAACTCCCTCATGGACCGGCATTGACCCATAGATAAACACCGCACCGTGAACCTGACGACCTCAACTCGGCCACAGCTAACAACATCAGTGGTGAGTGGAAATTTATAGCTGCCAAGTACTCTAAAATGCATTTTGATTATAAATGTGGAGGGGAAAACCGGAAGAGACCTGGAGAAAAATCCATGCTGCCACAGGGAGAATATGCAAACTCCAAATATACAGGCGTCAGGATCGGGATCGCACACACGACCTCCTGTACACCAGGCGAGGTAGTTAACATCTCGCCACCGTAGATTGTACGCATCTACTAAGCCTGTAATAATACAATGAATTGTCACAATCAGGGGTTGTGGCTCATTTCAAGAATCCATTCAATGTTTTTTGCCACTGTGGTTAATGTAGCAGCCTGAGGTGGCTGCAGAGTTTACGAGAACCCATTTTGTACAACACATAACAACTGGAAATAATACATTCCACTGGCAGTTCCGAACCTGAGTGACCAGAATGCGTGCAACTGAATCGCTTGTGTGTGAATGTCCGCAACCAGTTCCAAGCAGAATACGCCGTTTAATTTCCTTGTCACGTAACCACTCGCCCGAGATGCGGACAAAGTCGCTGCAGGCGATGATTACGTTGCAAGATTCCGAGGAAAATTTGTCTGTGCTACTGATCGCTCAGGCGTGAGCCCAGCCTCACATGCAGCAATGGCAACGCACGTCTCGCGAGTAGGAATCAATTTAAAATCTATCAGAGTTACATTGGCCCACCAGCTAAACACGTTTGTCTGGGACGCAGTGGGGATTATACAGAGAGGGGAGGGGGGAGGTCTACGCTTCCGCTAATCAACAGTGACTGCAACGTGATAACCGCCATTCAAACGCAGCTCCTCAGGCTGGACAGGGGGAACCACTCAAGTTCACGTTTAAAGAGTTCATCGTGGCCAATGCTAAGGGTGCCGTCACACCTCGCCATCACTCCCCCACCCACCCACTCACCCCTTCCTCCTTCTGCCAATTCGTGCAGCAGCTGGTACGGTGAACGTCTGACCTCCAACGTCAGCAATTACGGTCTCTGGTTCGTGGAGGCTCACGACATTCAAGCGGTGACCCTCCCCACCCCCTAATTAAGTTGGTCAAAGATCAGTTTGGCCACGGTGGTGTCACAGTGGTGAGATGTTAACTCTCTCGCGTGGTATTCAGGAGGTCGTGGGTTCTATCCACAACCCTGACGGTACCCGTATATTTGGAGTTTGCGTGTTCCTCTCCCACCGTGGTCACGTGGCTTTTTCTCCGGGTCCTCCGGGTTTCCCGTCCACCCTTAGAATCATTGTTCATTTAGGGTGTTTGGCTGCTCTTAATTTCCCCATGATGAGCCACTTTGTTGAGCTATTATTTGTGGCCAAATAAATAGTTCAGTGGGCCTTACTTGGTAAATAAAAAAAACATAGTAGTTAACATTTAAATAGTTACTATGTATTTGACAATTTAAAGGTGAAATTTCAGAATTTTCTTTCTTCTTTAATCACTCAAAAACAAGCCTGGGCGTAGAAAACCTCACGGCTTCTTGCCCAGAGGGGAACGTGGCGACGATTGGCTTCAGCCAATCCCTTGCTTAGTATCGAGATTAGCACGATGAACACGCACGTCACGTTTACGTGAAGCGATCCCACGGCAACGCTTGCAAGAGTAAACCAGTACTTAACTCCGTTCGCCTCCTCTCTGTATCATCGCCGTCATGAACAGACGTGCCAGTGCCGAACCAGTGTGTTTTTAGGCACTGCGCATAACTCGGAGTCGCGGAACGCGGGAAAATCAAAGCGCTATGTGCCCTCTCTCTACATACCGCGCAGGCCAGCCGTTCGCAAACATTTTTTTTTAAAAACAGAACCGAGCAACACTAAGTGAAACAAAATGACCCACAGCCACACAGCGTCGTGCGTGCGGCACACTCGGGTGCCGTTCCATAAATAGGACGCATCTGGCTCTTTTCCAGAGACAGATGTGAGAGGGGCAGAGGGTTAGCGGAGGAAGAGAAGGGAGGGGGAAGTGAATCAGAGCGAGCGGTTGGTGGGCTACGGGACGATGGGCAGGCTTGCAAAGGAGCACCACGGAGTGGCCGCAGTGATCGTTACATTACGAGAAACGCAAGCGTGCATTCAAGCGCGCAGCCGCATCCGGGATAGGTTCGGACCAGATGTGACGCCGTCGCTGGCGATGCCACGCCAGGGTTTGACGAGTCAGAAGTTCACTTACATCCCCGCCCATAAGAAAAGGCACACCGCACGTTCATTTACTGCGGCACTACAAGGCATTTGGAAGGGGTGCACAAATGTCACTCAGGCCAAAGGTGAAATTCCAAGGTAACACAGATGCTTATCCATCAACCGTATTGCGATGATGCTGTCAATTATGCTGCTGCTGATGATGATGATGATTATTGGATCAATGAAGCCTGGATTATACGTAGGCTCACTATTGTTGTTTGACTGTGAGTCCTGCTGCTTTAACATTTGAGCTTACTCAGATAGCAACGTTTATAGGCAAAAACATGTTTAATACGTAGGCATTAAAGTGTACAAAAATAATCAGATTTGGCTTCTTTATTTTGTGGCTGTAAAGTATTTGGAGTTTAGTTTTTTGCATCGTTTGGGTCATTTTGAAATAAAGGGGGCTTTGTTTTTTTGTTGCTCTTCTACTTCCCACTTCTGCTTGTCCATTTTAATTCCTGCAGACACCCCCCCCGGAACACCCCCGTTGGGCCCCCCCCCCCACCCCCCCAGCGAACAGCCCGCCGACGGACGACGCTTGCGGCCCGTTCCGTCCGCCGCCCTCTCACCTGCGCCGCCAGGAGGAACATCCCGCGCGGCTCGGACATCTTCTCGAGCACGTGGCAGCGCATGCCGGCGGTGCGCTCGAACTCGTACGCCACGCCGTACTCCAGCTGCGTGTTGTCCACCGTCAGGCTCACGCCCTCGCCTTCGCCGACCGGCGGCGGCGACGTCGAAGCAGCCGGGCCACCTCGCCGCTCCCCCTCCCCCGCGTCGTCGCGAGCCGCGGCCGCCTTCGGCGGCGGGGTCGGCGGCGGCAGCCGTGGCGGCTGCCGCGCCGGAGCCTCGCCGCCGAGATCCCAGGTCAGGCCGCGGAAGAAGTCGCCGTCCAAGGACGATTCGAACGCGTCTGCTGCGGGAGCCAGCGGGGCAGGGAGTTGCGTTTGGTTAGGGCTTGTTTTGTTACTGCTACTGCTGCAAGAATAAGAACAGTATTTTTAGATAGCGTCGTTCCGTGCAATTTTGCAAGATGCGGTCACGTTCTATTGACCGTGGAGGTGTGATAGGACCGAAGTCGCTCTGAATGTGGATTTAAACGCACGATATTCTGGCTGCGAGTCAAGCGCTCTAAACGCAGAGCCACCTAGCCAGGTCCTCACTCACAGCGCTACGTGTGTGTGTGTGTCTGTGCATGTGCATGTGGAGAGTTTCCCATACCTGGGCAGTGTGCTTATGACCGACTCCAGTTTAACAGCAGAGGTCTCACTCCGAATCAGTCGAGCGGCATTATCTTTTCATCGGTTGCATATTGCTGTGTGGAATCTACCTGGTCTGTCGCTCCGCACTAAGCTTCAGGTCTTCTCGGCCACGGTCATTCCCTCCCTTCTCTACGCTTGCGAAACGTGGACCCCCCCCTAATGGAACATCTTCGCCGGTTAGAAACATTAAGGCTAGCCTGCCTACGATCCATCCTGGGTTTAACCAGGCTGGATTGTGTGAGGAGCTCACAAATCCTTGAAAGATCTGGGCAAGGTCCCATCGGTGAGCTCCTCCGGCAGGCAAGGCTGCATTGGCTGGGTCATGTAGCCCGCATGCCCAGCCACCGCATGCCGAAACAGCTTTTGTTCGGCCGGATCGAGGGGGCTAAACGGGCACGGCACGGGCTAGAGAAGAGATGGAGTGATGTGGTACAGGAGGACATGGAGCTGAGTGGACTTGCCGATGACTGGTACCAGCAGTGTCAAGATCGGCCTCTGTGGAGGAGGCTCGTGAAGGATGCTACTGGGCAGTTGGAGGCAGTCGCCCTCCAACAACAACGGAGGGCAGAGGAGCGACACTCACAACAACGAGCGGAGCGCCGGGTGGCTAAAGCACAGCAGGTTGGCACAGTAGGGGGCACAGGTCGTGCATCAGCCAGTCATCTCAGTCAGTCGACCCGTGGCACCTGGGTCTGCCCCGTGACCTCCTGCCAGCGGGCGTTCGACACTTCACGTGGCCTCAAGGTGCACATGGCCTGGCACAAGCGTCGTGGTGACGTCACCACCACTTAGTGGCGAATGGCGGTTGTTGTTGTGCATGTACGTTGAACTTCTTTCGCACCGTACGTAACCAACCGTGCTAATCAGAGGTGCAGGGGAAGGACAGACGAACTAAACACAAAAAACAGCCCTAAAGAAACGAGTTATTTTTTAAGTGCTACGTTATCGATTTGTTGATAAAGGCGTTGTGTTAAAAAAAGCCCTGTGCTTAGCAACTGTGGTAAATAATACAACGTTTGCCCATACCAGCAATACGCAGGAAATCTCAGTCCCACCTGTGATTAATACAATTCATCCGCATTTTAAAAACAAATAAAGACTCGTACTTCTTACATTGAAAAAAAAACATTTTGTATGTGCACACATAAATATAATATTGTCCAAATATGAAGAGAAAAGTGTAACGTGGTTTAAAACAAGTATTGTTTTGCTATGAAATGTGCTTTTTAGAATCAACTTCAATATTTTTTTCAACATCTGTTACTGTGCACACAAACGTGCTTACAATGTGAGTATACAGACATTCACACGAACGCATTAATGCAGTAAAACGTTTTCAGAACTTTTACAGCAAGAATACTTGCATCCCTTCAAGGTCGATTAAATAAGTACCACGTGGTGGGGAATTCAAACAGTGGCTGTCCTATGGACGGACTCGGCTCTGCCATAAAAATGTGGAATTTCCTCCACTGCCTCAGGACCGTAAGCAGGAGACGAACACCGCATCAATGCTCATTTCAGCCGGCAATTGCCTTGAGGAAGCGATGGATGACAGAAAAGAAAAAAGAGCAGAGGGGACAGGCAGGAAGTGCACTATGGGGGTGACCTTAGAGTATGTGGCTGCTATAAATTTACACGTGATAAGCCACGTGGTTGAGCTAGCATACTTGGCCAGGCCGCTTCCGATAAGAGAGCTATATAGCCCAGTGGGGCCCCTTACCTGGTGAAATAAAAAAAAAATTTCATAGTTTAGTTTTTCTTGTGCCAAGACGCAGGTCACGCAGGTCACGCACGCACCTTCCTCCAGCTTGCTCTCGGCCAGCTCCGAGATGAGGTCGGTCCCGAACGACGTGTCGTCCAGCGGGCAGCAGGAGCCCGAGTTGAACGAGCAGGCGAGCGAGGGCACGAGCGGCAGCTGGCGCCTGGCGCAGGGCGAAGACCTGGCGGGGCTGGAGCCGCACGGCGAGGCGCAGGGCTCGCCGTCGCTCCGGCACGGCGTCATCAGCACGCCGCCTCCTCCTCCTCCTCCTCCTCCTCCGGGCCGCCGTTCCGTCTCGCCGTCCGAAAGGCCCGCTGGGGAGCTGTACACCCAGCGCACGTCCTCCTGCGCCCCCCACGCGGCACCCGTCGCGCCTCCGATTAGCACGGTCGATCGGCCACGTGCAGTGCGCGGGAGAATTTTCAACGTGCGTCGTCCATCGCGGGGGGCACGCGGCCGCGGTCGGAACGCTCGCAGTCTCCACCGGGCTGAGCCACACGCGCGGTAGCGGCGCTCAGCTCAAGATCAATTTAGCGGTGTGTTCAGTGGCACCTCGAGTGCAGGTGGGATTTCTCCCAGGTTCTCCAAATGCCAAACAGCTGTTGACCACAAAAAAAAAAAAACGTCCTTATGCGGGACCCTGTTTATTTGGCATCGGAATTAAGGGAATGCGTTGGCGACGATGGATTCGTCACGTTGCCCGGTCCCCACTTTGATGCTCTGTGAGTTCACGTTGCATTTGGAAAGCTGGCATTTCGCGCAACGACTGGGCTTCATGATCGGAGCTCAAAACTTTCCCATCAATGTTGTCAAACGCGCAGCCTTGATGACCGTTCCGCGAGCGTCACGGTCAATTTCACATTAGGCGCGTGGCCACGCGCTTATGCGACCCGCTCGTGGACGGGGGCGTCCACACGTGGGACGCGCAGAGGGAGTAGGGGGGAGGGGGGGGGGGAGGAGGAGCTCTTCCTCCGAAGTGGACGTTGCTCCCACCTGCGGCGCCTGGCGCTGGCTGCGGAAGGCGGTGACGTGCGCGATGACAGAGGCGTGGCTCGCCTTGCTCACGTTCGAGCCGTTCACCTTGACGATGCACTGGCCCGGCTGCAGCCCTGCGCCAGCTGCTGCCGTTCCTGCATGGAACCATGGCACACACGCGCGCGGACACGCACACACACGCACACACACACACGCAAATTACATGCGCCCGCTCAGGATGCGATGGCCCCACGCTCCCGTCACTTATGAAGCGTTCCAACTGTTTCCCTCGTTAACGTAACATACCGCCAGCTTCCTTTCCCCCCAACTTTTTGCAAGGGCGCTTACAATTTACAATTGGCTCATCTCGTGCTTTTATTGTTTTCCTTCGAATTTCCGACCCAGAGCGAGCCCCGGCACGCAGCGCCGATCACAGAACTGAAGTGTTTGTGGGAGGTGGGGGGGGGGTGGTGGTGGTGGTGGTGGGAACAACATTTCCTCGAACAGCAGCGGCCCCGAGTACGTCGCGAAAAAAAACTGGGCTCACTGCCCCACGCCCAGGTGGGGGACATGAAAGTTCATATTGGGAGGGGGAAAAAAGAACCGTAGCATCTCCGGTGAAGAGAACACTGCGAGACAGTTTGGCGGGAGTGCACCGACTATGGCTTTGCATTTGTCCCCTTACGACGTGTCACTCGCTCCGTAAGTGGAACTCCAAGGTAACGAGGGTGATTTTCTAACGAACCGTCTTCGGGATGATGCTGTCAATTTTGCTTCTGATGATGATTATGATACTGCTGTTCGGATCAATGAAGCCTCGACGATAGGTAAACTCGCGATTGCAGTTTGACTGTGAGACCTGATGCTTTGTTGACAAATGAGCTTAATCAGAAAGCATCGTCAATTGGTCACGTAGGAATTGAAGTGTAAAAATAATAATAGGATGTTGCTCTTTATTTTGTCGGTGTAAAGTATTTGTAGTTTAGTCTTTTTTTATAAATAAGGCTTTTTTTAGTTTGTTCCACTTGCAATGCTGCTCGTTTACTTGAATTCGCCCAGAAATCCCTCGAGCGTTTCATAACTTTATCGCAATGTGGCCCCCGAGTTCGTAACTTGCAGCTACGTTTCAATCCACCGATGGACGAAGGCCTCCCCACACCTTGCCGGTAAATAAGGGAAGTTTGACCATACTTCCCATGTTGGTCTGTGCAGTTAGTAAAAGTGGCTGGCGGGGGTGGTTGGTGGGGAGTTGCCCACGATCAGTTCAGCTATCAGCCGGAATCGAACTCAGGTGGCCAGGTTCATAGCGAAATGTGCAAATCAGAACGCCGCCTTCACCACCTCCACTCTCCCCCCCCCCCCCCCCCCCCCCCCGAAAGAAGAAATAAATTGCTGACCCGTCCATACTGGACATCTGTGAAAAAGAGCTTCATAGCTCATCGGTTTCCTCCAGATAAAGATTTTATATTCTGAAGTGTACGCGATACGGGGACTAAGTGAGAAGAGAGTGGCATGATGGGAATGGCATGCTGGGATTGGCATGATGGGAGGATGGGAGTGGCATGATGGGAGTGGCATGATGGGAGTGGTATATGCTGGGAGTGACATGATGTGAGTGGCATGATGTGAGTGGCATGATGGGAGTGGCATGATGTGAGTGGCATGATGGGAGTGGCATGATGGGAGTGGCATGATGGGAGTGGCATGATGGGAGTGGCATGATGTGAGTGGCATGATGGGAGTGGCATGATGGGAGTGGCATGATGGGAGTGGCATGATGGGAGTGGCATGCTGGGAGTGGCATGATGGGAGTGGCATGTTGGGAGTGGCATGATGGGAGTGGCATGATGGGAGTGGCATGATGGGAGTGGCATGATGGGAGTGGCATGATGGGAGTGGCATGTTGGTGAGTGGCAATCTGGGAGTTGCATGCTGGGAGTTGCATGCTGGGAGTGGCATGATGGGAGTGGCATGATGTGAGTGGCATGATGGGAGTGGCATGATGTGAGTGGCATCGCGGGACCTATTTGCGTGCGTTCAGTAAGAAAGCATCGATTACCTCCTCCACAATCCAATCAATCCGATAATCGGTCACGATTCAGTTATAATTACCCATGTAGTACGTATAGAATGTGTAGCAGTATGAATCTATAGAATGTAAAGATGTGTGTATTGCTTATATATTTAACTTAATCGACGAATGACTACATCCCTAGCAGACGTAATGAGAGATCGAGTCATTGGATCCAATCGATTCTTACATCGATGCTCCATGCCTCCAATCGTACAATGGAAAATCGATCAAACCGCCTCCCTCGGAGTGTGATAATTAAGCCGATAGACATCGGGTGTAGCCAGCTACCGGTGACTTTATAATGAAGATAGATGACAAGACCCACACGCGTAGCGTCAACATGCGTCGGTCTATCTGGTTCTCATTTACATTGTTTACGTGTGGAGGGTACAAGCACAGGACAATTTAAATAAAATGAAGCCAATCCGTGAATTAAAAGTCGATACATTTGCAGGCACTAACGAGCCTGGAGAGGTGGTCAGTCGCAATGAGGGTGGCGTAGATGTGAACTACCTCGCTTGGTATACAGGAGGTCGTGGGTTTGAACCAGACCCTGATGCCTGTTATATAGTTGGAGTTTGCTTGTTCTCCCTGTGGTCGCGTGAAAATTTCTCTGGGTCCTCCGGTGTTGCCCTCCACGTTTATAAACTTGCTTTTAAAGAATTTGGCTGCTATAAATTTTCACGCGATAAGCCACTTCGTTGAGCTATCATTTGCGGCCAGGTCGCTTTTAAAAAAGAGCTATATATAAAAGTTTTGTTTAGTTTCCATAAAACAACTAACCTATTAACAACATATAAAGCGGTACTTATTTTTATCAACCCCGGGATAGATGATGTGGCTGCGTCAAGGTCGACTTAGGATGCAAACTGACAAACCCACAATGTTTGAATCGAGTGCTGGAACCACATCACCGACCAGGCTGTGTTATAAATACTCATTGATGAACAGTAACGGGCTATGAAAATCTATTCACATCACAGTCTTTTACACGAGCAAAATCCGTTTTTCATAGTCCATACCGAACCGTAATTACAAACTCTCATGAGCGAGCGAGCGTGTTTTACGCTTAACCGCGTGCCATAATGCGCGACAACGTTTAAGGCCCTAACGAGGGGCTGTGGGAGTAGCTTGGGGCACCGGCGGCTCGTAGATGGCACAGTGGCTCCCAGCACGGGGGCAGAGATGGGGACGGTGATGATGGCGTCGTGCCGTTTTGATTTGAAGTAAAAACAATAAAATAAAAAAACAACTTCCCATCCATCAGACGCGCTTGCTTTCAGACGCGCTTCTGCGGCCGTCTGGAACGCTCTTCCTTCCGACACATCGGGAAGCCACCAGAGATACGCACTTTTAAATCGTCATTTACATTGGAAACTCATTTCTTTATAACTGCTTTTTTGTGTTTTAGTTCGTCGTCCTTCCCCCCCGCCGCCGATTGGGGAGGTCGTCTACGTACAGCGCAAAATAAGTCCACACATGCGTGCACACACACACACATCAAAGGGCTGGGATCTACGGCCGTGTGAAAAATAAATAAATTTAACCAGCCGAGGGGTAGCGGGAAGCCAGCTCTGAATGTAAATGAGCGACCGAGAGAGTAGCGGCCTCCTCCGTCCGTGGCAATGGGCATGAAAATCCCCGTAACAACAAAAAAAAAGCCCTTCCCTCTGCCAAGGAATAAACAGTAATAACATGAGTGTCTTTGTCAATGAATTTAGCAGAAGACTGTCGAAGACAAACGAATCAGTCAATCATTCCTAATCAGGCTGCAGCAAACTTTATGATAAAAAAAATATAGAAATCTCCACCAGGGGCCAGATTCACAACTATAACGAAATGGCCGATTCACCATCGTGTGGTGTTGATTTTGCCTCGTTCGCGGCCGTGGTGGTGGTGGTGCAGAAGAAGAAGAAGAAGATATCGGCGCATTTTTTTTTTCACCAAACGCTGGCCATGAACATAAACACTCGCCGACGCGCCAATCTGACCCTCGGCGTGGGCATCTGAGAATCAATCGCGCAGTGCTCGGGAATCGATTCAGCAGGGGCGCATCCTCCTGGGGAGGACGGCACCACGCGGAACCCCGCTGCGTGTTGTCTCGAATACACTCACGTCACCGTGAAGGAGTGAGAACGTTCTTATGATATTCTAGAAGGTCTAGAAGGTACTAGAAGGTACTAGAAGGCCGAAATATGCCAAAATAAAATGGTTGAGTGTACGTTTTAGAAACATTACATTTCAAAAGCCAATATTTCTGAATTTGGGCCCCCGAACGTTGTGGGAGGAAGGTTTATTGGCGTTCCCCGTAGGACGGTGCCAGCGCAAAGTTCTAAATTGCTTTCAGTCTTGTCCTAAACTCTCGCAAATTTAAAATGCCCATCATTAGTAAACAAATTCGTTTGCCACCCACAGATGACAGTGTGACGCGAAAGCTGATAGAAAGCAGGCCAAGCCATCCACAGGATAATCGTAATAATAATTACACAATTATATAATACGTAGTGTGAGCCAGGAACTAGTCTCACGCTCCGACTTTATTAGTTCAGTTGGTAAGGCCCATTGCCCAAGATCTTCGGCAATCGCGAGAGTTATAATAGGCCATTGCAGGGTGGGAATGTACAAACTAACAAGGACAAAAACAAACAAAATATTTACAAGAAACATACGTCGTTTCGTCTAATCGTGTGTAATGACATGCATGTCTGTACCAACGAGTGTAAACTTATTAGGGAGATGATGTCAGTCGGGTTGTCCAACCCTCCCACATTGGCCACGAGTGTCTACCAGAACTGGCATCGATATCCCTGTGAAAATTGAAAGCAATCCAGGAGATGGTAATTGAGGATATTTTAAGAAAATTATTTAATAATAATAATTTAAAACATCTCCCGGATTAGCTGCATTCAGACTTGGCAAGCCTAGGTGTGAGAGATTAGCATACGGCTAATCCCTGACACCTAGACCGTGCAACAACACCAGCGGCTATTGGTGTGAAATATTTCTGTGGGCTTCTCTTCGGTTGGCTTAGCCAAAAAATGGTGTGGCACGGTCAACATGAGCATTGGTGAAACAAAGGTA